ACCTAACCTAACCTAACTTAACCTAACCTAACCTAACCTAACCTAACCTAACCTAACCTAACTTAACCTAACCTAACCTAACCTAACTTAACCTAACCTAACCTAACCTAACCTAACCTAACCTAACCTAACCTAACCTAACTTAACCTAACCTAACCTAACCTAACCTAACCTAACCTAACCTAACTTAACCTAACCTAACCTAACCTAACTTAACCTAACCTAACCTAACCTAACCTAACCTAACCTAACCTAACCTAACCTAACTTGCAGTGCTCATGAAAGGATACAAAGTCTTGATTTGACACAACGTTTCGCTCTACACAGAGCGAAATGTTGTCTCTACAAATGCTGGTTTCTGCAACTCGTAACTTTTCTTCGCTCCTTTTATTAAGTTCAAACTGCAGCAACTAACTGTGTCATATTCAACTTAAGCGATTTTACTGTAAACAAAGGAGCACGTGTATTACATGTATTGACGCGTATATTTCGTGTTTTACATGTGTTTAACAGGCGAGATGAAACGTGTAGTGTGGTAGGTCTTAATTAAGAATTTATTGTCTCATGACTACAATGACAGAGAACTGGGATCGATTGTCGGGCTGAGGAGAGGACGGAGGGGTAATTAAGAGCCAGGTAACTGTCACCAGGTAACTGTCACCAGGTAACTGTCACCAGTTACTAGTGGTGCCTTGATACTATCATACCCTCACAAAACTCACATCTCACCCGCCCCACAAAACGCCCCCTCCCCCCCATCCCACAGGAGCACAAACCGTCACCAGGAGCTGTGACGCGACCCCTGCGACCACAAATAGGTGAGGACACGTTTAAAAAAGCTTCCACAGTCGCCATTATGTCCAAGAAATTCTAAACCAAAATGGTAATTAGTATCATTAGCGAGTATAATTTGTTTACTGGTCTGCCTTCTGTGGTAAGAACCCTGATGAATTGATTTGGTAAGATGATATGTCCAGACGACCATAAACCGTAAGTCAACCTGGGTTACACAGTGGACAGTGACTGTAGCTCTGATATACGTGGTGGATAGTTACTGTAACTCTGATAGATGGGGTGGACAGTGGCTGTGGCTCTGATAGACGGGGTGGACAGTGTAGCTCTAATAGACGGGGTGGACAGTGGCTGTAACTCTGATAGATGGGGTGGACAGTGACTGTAGCTCTGTTAGACGGGGTGGACAGTTACTGTAGCTCTGATAGATAAGGTGGACAGTGACTGTAACTCTGATAGACAGGGTGGACAGTGACTGTAACTCTGATAGACGGGGTGGACAGTGACTGTAACCCTGATATACGTGGTGGATAGTTACTGTAACTCTGATAGATGGGGTGGACAGTGACTGTGACTCTGATAGACGGGGTGGACAGTGACTGTAACCCTGATATACGTGGTGGATAGTTACTGTAACTCTGATAGATGGGGTGGACAGTGACTGTGACTCTGATAGACGGGGTGGACAGTGACTGTAACTCTGATAGACGGGGTGGACAGTGACTGTGGGTCCAGAGAACAATACTGAGACAATGGGTACATAGAACACCACTTAAACAGCGGGTACATAAAACACCACTTAGTGGGTACATAGAACACCACTTAGACAGTGGGTACATATAACACCACTTAAACAGTTGGTACAATGGCTCGCGAGGCCACTGTATCAGAAAGTCGGACGAGCTTCAACGCACAACTTCCAAATACACACAGGAGTACACACACCACACTATATATCTTCTTTTCTGCCTCATCAGATAGCAATATAGATGCCTCTGCCTCACTGTTCGAGGCAGCAAATTATTGAGTGCTCGCGGGGGAGGCGCACAAAAGGCCTATTGTGCGGTAGTGTTGACTGAAGACAAGTGGAGAGAGTTATTCAAGGGTACAGAAGTGCACCCTTCAGTCTCCCATCATTCCTCGTTCATCTCCTTATGGTGGGAGGAAGTGCTGGGGGTCTCTTAAAGGAAGGTGCCTTGAAGGGACCTTCAAGGAAGAGGCCTTGAAGGGACCTTCAAGGAAGAGGCCTTGAAGGTACCTTTAACGAAGAGGCCTTGAATCAACCTTCAAGGAAGGGGCCTGTCATCTTTGAGTCATATCAAACACACTGCAATAGTCCTCAAGAGAAAACTGGATCACAACCTCAACTGTGGGCCAAATCAACTAGGCTGTGATGGATATGTGTGTGCCAGCAGCAACAGCCTGGCTGACCGGCCAATCATCTTCAGGACCTGGCCCCCAGGTAAGACCACGGGAGTAAGGAAACTTTAGAACCGAGGCACAGATAAAGCGGTCAACAAAGGCAGAGTAGCAGACAGAAGGTGAAGATATGATATATTATTCGTAAATATGTTTATGGTACACAGAACTTGTGCTAACAAGACTGTCTACTTCTGTCTAGGTTAAGATCTATCGTGCTGGAACCCACACCTGGTCAGGCACCTCAAGAAATAAGAGAAAGTGCAGAGATTTGCAACTACGCTACTCCCGGAGCTAAGGGGTATTTCCTACGAAGAGAGGCTAAGGGAATTAAGGGGTATGTCCTATGAGGAGAGGTTAAGGGAGCTAAGGGATATATCCTACGAGGAGAGGTTAAGGAAAGTAAGGGGGTATGTCCTACGAGGAAACGTTAAGGGAACTCAATATGATGACACGGGAGGACAGGAGGGATAGGGGAGACATGATAATGACGTACAATATACAAAGAAAAATTGACAGAGTGGACAGGGATAGAATGTTTCAGAGATGTGACACAGCAACAAGGGGACACAACTAGAAGTTGAAGACTCAGATGAGTCACAGGGATGTTAGGAAGTATTTCTTCAGCCATAGAGTTGTCAGGAAGTGGAACAATCTGGAGAGTGATGTAGTGAAGGCATAGCTTTAAGAAGAGGTATGATAAAGCTCATGGAGCAAGAAGAGAGTGGACCTAATAGCGACCAGCGAAGAGGCGGGGCCAGGAGCTGTCACTCGATTCCTGCAACCACATTTAAGTGAGCATATATAGGTGAGTACACACACACATACAGTGAAGAGGCGGCACCAGAAGCTATGAATCGACCCCTGCAACCACAGTTAGGTAAGTACACATTGGTGGGTGAGGCTGGCCAGAGGCAGTCTTAAGACCGGAACACCTACCCTGTGGAAGCCTGGATTACATTAGTGGAGACGTACCTAGATAAGACAGTGATCTTCCAGTGGAGAGAGAGAGAGAGAGAGAGAGAGAGAGAGAGAGAGAGAGAGAGAGAGAGAGAGAGAGAGAGAGAGAGAGAGAGAGAGCTATCATATCAGCAGAGCCTTCAACACAGGAGGGATGTGGGTGGCCTTACTGTTATGTACAAGGCCAATATTGTCAAAGTGCCACACTTGGATCCACTTCGAGGACAGCGTGAAGCAAGCTTCTATACCACAAGACGGGCACCCAGCAGCAACTTCACTCTGGATGTAACCTTCTCCAGAACATTTTTTGGACGGGAGAGTACCGGCGAATAAAAAAAAAAAATCACTTAATCTGAGATCATCTATCCCAGGGGTGACTCGAGTATGGAACACATTCGTACAGCATTATGATGTCAGCGAGATAAAGTCAGTTGATCAAATGAAAATACTGGTCCACAGATGGCTCCAACTTCATCCTGTTCCCTATTTGTATGTTAGAAACCTTAACCTAACCTTGTAAAACACTGTGTAAAAGAGAAAGATAGAGAGTAGTGTTAACACCTAGGTAAGACCTGTAGTGCACAGGACCCACTAGAGCTGATGATGCTGTTAACTCTTTAATTAAGAGAGGTCCCACTGCAACTGTGGTGTGTTCCTGCCTCCATCTTGACGGTCAGATGGTGTGTTCCTGCCTCCATCTTGACGGTCAGATGGTGTGTTCCTGCCTCCATCTTGACGGTCAGATGGTGTGTTCCTGCCTCCATCTTGACGGTCAGATGGTGTGTTCTTGCCTCCATCTTGACGGTCAGATGGTGTGTTCCTGCCTCCATCTTGACGGTCAGATGGTGTGTTCCTGCCTCCATCTTGACGGTCAGATGGTGTGTTCCTGCCTCCATCTTGACGGTCAGATGGTGTGTTCCTGCCTCCATCTTGACGGTCAGATGGTGTGTTCCTGCCTCCATCTTGATGGTCAGATGTTGTGTTCCTGCCTCCATCTTGATGGTCAGATGGTGTGTTCCTGCCTCCATCTTGACGGTCAGATGTTGTGTTCCTGCCTCCATCTTGACGGTCAGATGGTGTGTTCCTGCCTCCATCTTGACGGTCAGATGGTGTGTTCCTGCCTCCATCTTGATGGTCAGATGGTGTGTTCCTGCCTCCATCTTGACGGTCAGATGTTGTGTTCCTGCCTCCATCTTGACGGTCAGATGGTGTGTTCCTGCCTCCATCTTGACGGTCAGATGGTGTGTTCCTGTTTCCATCTTGACGGTCAGATGGTGTGTTCCTGCCTCCATCTTGACGGTCAGATGGTGTGTTCCTGCCTCCATCTTGACGGTCAAATGTCTTTCTTTATTCACTGACATCGAATATAGGGAAGAACTGAAGAGCAATTGGAACTATCGTTCTGGGATACAGCAGGTCCAACACTGAGCTACCAGGCTTACAATAGGAAGCTTTCACAGACATCACTTCTGTGATGCAGCTGTGTTAGAGGTCACCAGCTGTGACCCACCTGTCCCTTCCACAGCCACAGAAGCTTTCATAGCACATCTGTTCTCACACCCTCAGTGACATATAGTCGCTATAATCTAGCTTTTAGCAACATTAGCGCTATAATCTAGCAGTAACGTGCTATATAACAACATTAGCGTTATAATCTAGTAGTAACGTGCTATATAACAACATTAGCGCTATAATCTAGCTGTAACACCCTATACAGCATCATTAACGCTAGCTAGCCGTAATACGCTTTATAGCAACATTGGCGCTATAATCTAGCAGTAAAGCGCTATATAGCAACAGCTGGTGGTAACTAACTCCCTTATTCAGGTCAGTTACCCGTCGACCGTGAGGAGGAGGGTGGGTGCCGCTCAGCTGCTCAGGTAAATAATGCCTATTTTTAATTTAAATACCTACTGTAAGACATGCAATGGCTCGAAGTTCATTGTCATTTTCTGCAAGGCTGCCCGGACACCCTCGGGGGACATTTTAAACCTCGGTACGACCATTTTTTGGAGTATATTTTGTCCACAAAATGAATTCAGTGATTATGTACCATTGTACACGATTTTTTAATGGCTTTTTCCATAGGTTTTTAATATATTCTGGTATTAATGAAATATTAGGCTTTTCAAAAAGGTTATTTGATAATATTTTCGGGGGTCAGCGCCCCCCCTGATTCAGGTCTTGGAGCAGGTCGCCTAGTTAAGAAAATATTATATTAATAAGGCCTGATTAGAAACACAAATTAAGTGTATTAGAGAGAGAGAGAGAGAGAGAGAGAGAGAGAGAGAGAGAGAGAGAGAGAGAGAGAGAGAGAGAGAGAGAGAGAGAGAGAGAGAGAGAGAGAAGTAACACTGTCAGAGTGCAAATCTTTTGCCTGGCTTCTGTTTTTCACACATAAGATGCCTAGTAACTCTGACTTTTTTTTTCTATGTGTTATATGTTTATTCTCTGTGTTTATGTTATTGTGTTCTCTTCGTTTATATCCTCTTCCTTCCTTCCTTCCTTCCTTCTTAAGTTCATTCTTTCCTCCCTTCATTTCTAGCTTCATTCTTTCGTTTCTTTCACTCATTCCTTTCTAGCTTCCGTCCTTTCCTTCCGTCCGTCTTTCCGTCCGTCCTTCCTTCCGTCCGTCCGTCCTTCCGTCCGTCCGTCCGTCCTTCCGTCCGTCCGTCCGTCCTTCCGTCCGTCCTTCCCTCCTTCCGTCCGTCCTTCCTTCCTTCCGTCCGTCCTTCCGTCCTTCCGTCCGTCCGTCCGTCCTTCCTTCCGTCCGTCCTTCCGTCCGTCCGTCATTCCTCCCTTACGTCCGTCCTTCCTTCCGTCCTTCCTTCCGTCCGTCCTTCCGTCCGTCCTTCCGTCCGTCCTTCCCTCCGTCCGTCCTTCCCTCCGTCCGTCCTTCCGTCCGTCCGTCCGTCCGTCCTTCCTTCCTCCCTTTCGTCCGTCCTTCCTTCCTTCCTTCCGTCCGTCCTTCCTTCCGTCCGTCCTTCCGTCCGTCCTTCCGTCCGTCCTTCTTTCCGTCCGTCCTTCTTTCCGTCCGTCCTTCCGTCCTTCCTTCCGTCCGTCCTTCCTTCCGTACGTCCTTCCTTCCGTCCGTCCTTCCTTCCTTCCGTCCGTCCTTCCTTCCGTCCGTCCTTCCTTCCGTCCGTCCTTCCGTCCGTCCGTCCGTCCTTCCTTCCGTCCGTCCCGTGTGCGTGTGTGTGTGTATGAGTGTGTGTGTGTGTGTGTGTGTGTGTGTGTGTGTGTGTGTGTGTGTGTGTGTGTGTGTTGTGTGTTTATGTGTGTGTGTGTTTATGTGTACTCACCTATTTGTACTCACCTATTTGTGGTTGCAGGGGTCGAGTCCTAGCTCCTGGCCCCGCCTCTTCACCGGTTGCTACTAGACCCTCTCCCTCCCCGCTCCATGAGCTTTATCAAACCTCGTCTTAAAACTGTGTATGGTTCCTGCCTCCACTACGTCATTTTCTAGGCTATTCCACTGCCTTACAACTCTATGACTGAAGAAATACTTCCTACTTTCTCTCTGACTCATTTGTGTCTTCAACTTCCAATTGTGGCCTCTTGTTTCTGTGTCCCCTCCCTGGAACATCCTGTCCTTGTCCACCTTGTCTATTCCACGCAGTATTTTATATGTCGTTATCATGTCTCCCCTGACCCTCCTGTCCTCCAGTGTCGTCAGGCCGATTTCCCTTAATCTTTCTTCATAGGACATTCCCCTTAGCTCTGGAACTAACCTTGTTGCAAACCTTTGTACTTTCTCTAGTTTCTTGACGTGCTTTATCAAGTGCGGGTTCCAAACAGGTGCTGCATACTCCAGTATGGGCCTGACATACACGGTGTACAGTGTCTTGAATGATTCCTTACTAAGGTGTCGGAATGCTGTTCTCAGGTTTGCCAGGCGCCCATATGCTGCAGCAGTTATCTGATTGATGTGTGCTTCCGGAGACATGCTCGGTGTTATACTCACCCCAAGATCTTTCTCCTTGAGTGAGGTTTGCAGTCTTTGGCCACCTAGCCTATACTCTGTCTGTGGTCTCCTGTGCCCTTCCCCTATCTTCATGACTTTGCATTTGGCAGGATTAAATTCGAGAAGCCATTTGCTGGACCAGGTGTCCAGTCTGTCCAGGTCTCTTTGAAGTCCTGCCTGGTCCTCATCAGATTTAATTCTCCTCATTAACTTCACATCATCTGCAAACAGGGACACTTCTGAGTCTAACCCTTCCGTCATGTCGTTCACATATACCAAAAATAGCACTGGTCCTAGGACCGACCCCTGTGGGACCCCGCTCGTCACAGGTGCCCACTGTGATACATCATTACGTACCATGACTCGTTGTTGCCTCCCTGTCAGGTATTCTCTGATCCATTGCAGTGCCCTTCCTGTTATATGCGCCTGATGCTCTAGCTTCTGCACTAATCTCTTGTGAGGAACTGTGTCAAAGGCCTTCTTGCAGTCCAAGAAGATGCAATCAACCCACCCCTCTCTCTCTTGTCTTACTTCTGTTATTTTATCATAAAACTCCAGAAGGTTTGTGACACAGGATTTGCCTTCCGTGAATCCGTGCTGGTTGGCATTTATACTCCTGTTCCGTTCCAGGTGCTCCACCACTCTCCTCCTGATAATCTTCTCCATAATTTTGCATACTATACACGTCAATGACACAGGTCTATAGTTTAGTGCCTCTTTTCTGTCTCCTTTTTTGAAAATGGGAACTACATTTGCTGTCTTCCATACCTCAGGTAGTTGCCCAGTTTCCAGGGATGTGTTGAAGATTGTGGTAAGTGGTACGCACAACATATCTGCTCCCTCTCTAAGGACCCATGGAGAGATGTTGTCCGGTCCCATTGCCTTTGAGGTATCGATGTCCCTTAGCAGTTTCTTCACCTCCTCCTCATCTGTATGTATGTCGTCCAACACTTGTTGGTGTATTCCTTGTTGGTGTCCCCATCTGGTCTGTCCCCCCAGAGTCCTTCCTGTCTCTACTGTAAATACTTCCTTAAATCTCGTGTTGAGCTCCTCACATACCTCTTGATCGTTTCTTGTGAGTTCCCCACCTTCTTTCCTCAGCCTTATCACCTGGTCCTTGACTGTTGTCTTCTTCCTAATGTGGCTATACAGCAGTTTCGGGTCAGAATACAGCAGTTTCGGGTGTGTGTGTGTGTGTGTGTGTGTGTGTGTGTGTGTGTGTGTGTGTGTGTGTGTGTGTGTGTGTGAGACTCAGCAATCAACATTTGCACCAATAACTCACTACAGTTGTGACCGGGTGTGGAAGTGTGAATTGCTCATTACTCTAAAATTTGTTCATGATTGCAGCCATGTATAAACGTAAGTAACCATTCTTACAGTATTCATTACCTTTGTAACTTGTGAGTTCATTACCTTTGTAACTTGTGAGTTCATTACCTTGTACCTAGTTCAGCCATCAAAACTTTGGAGCCCGGTCCCTGGACCCATTGTGTACCCCTGTAATCTGTAAATACCTTTGTAACTTGTCATGATTGTGACTAGACCTACCTGGAGTTCATTACCTTTGTAAATTGTGAGTTCATTACCTTTGTAAATTGTGAATTCATTACCTCTGTAACTTGCTCAGCTATCAAAACTTTGAGGCCCAGTCCCTGGACCCATTATGTACCTCTGTAATCTTTTGACTACCGCCCACAGGATGGGTATGGGGTGCATAATAAACATATTAAACTAACTAAACGTCCGTCCGTCCGTCCTTCCGTCCGTCCTTCCGTCCGTCCTTCCGTCCGTCCGTCCTTCCTCCCGTCCGTCCGTCCTTCCGTCCTTCCTAGCTGCATTCCCATATTCCATCATTGCTTCTTCTAAGTACTGTTAGTTCTCATGGTTGTATCTGTTTAGTAACCACCACCACCACCATCAGTCTGTTTTGTCTCATTACAAGTCTCGTACCTTCCTTCCCATGCTTTCACCTCATTAACACTGTGTACCGTTGTTTCTACCTTTCTTATCTCTCTCTCTCTCTCTCTCTCTCATTTACATAAGGGTGTTTTACAAAGTTAGGTTAAGGGTTTTTAAATTTCGTTACAAGCTAAGAGCTGTTACTTACATCAGCTCATTTTAAAGCCTTTTTATTGTTAAGAGACATATAGTGAACAGGATGAAGTTAGAGCCATCTGCAGGATAGAGGGTGAAGCTGGAGTCATCTGAGAGTCGGAGGGTGAAGTTGGAGCCATCTGAGGGTCAGAGGGTGAAGCTGGAACCATATGAGGGTCAGAGGGTGAAGCTGGAGCCATCTGCGGGTCAGAGGGTAAAGCTGGAGTCATCTAAGGGTCAGAGGGTGAAGCTGGAGCCATCTGAGGGTCAGAGGGTGAAGCTGAAGCCATCTGAGGGTCAGAGGATAAAGCTGGAGCCATCTGCTACCTATAATTTATTTTCTGTATATGAGTGAAGATGCCCACTATATAGGTGAAACGTTTCAGTCAACAGTAAAGATAACCAGCTGTTGAACATGTGTCTTACCCTTTAAGAATAAATATGAAAAGAACTGTCGATCTTCTCTGTCCAGTTCCGTTTTATTTCGCCAGTGGTCTTGATATTCACTCTGGTGACAGTAATTGCACGTGATGTCTCACAGACAGTTGTCAGTGGTGTGTCCCCTTCAGTGACAGCGGGAGCAGTGCCTGGGAGGATCATCTGTTTCCTGTACTTCTTGCATTTTTGCTGCTGATTCGCCAACTGATTTCTCTGTATTTTCTGCTGGTGAGCCTGATAAGGTACCTGATGGGTGTCTGTCTGTCTCTGTCTGTCTGTCTGTCTGTCTGTCTGTCTGTCTGTCTCTCTCTCTCTCTCTCTCTCTCTCTCTCTCTCTCTCTCTCTCTATCTATCTATCTATCTATCTGTCTATCTCTCTCTCTCTCTCTCTCTCTCTCTCTCTCTCTCTCTCTCTCTTCTCTCTCTCTCTCTCTCTCTCTCTCTCTACACACACACACACACACACCACACACACACATACACACACACACACACACACACACACACACACACACACACACACACACACACACACACACACACACTGAGCCACAGAGGGCCAAGAACAGAAACTCGACCCCTGTAGCCATATACAGGTAAGTATAGACACACACACACTCAGGTTTTTATGTATTTTGGTCATTCAGAGCAAGAAGTGCTAAAGGCTCGATCCTCCGTCCTTCCATCACTAAGCTGAGAGAGAGAGAGAATCCCACCAGCTCAACTGAAATATTAGAGTCGCTCCATATATTTCCTTTTCAATTAGACAAGTCACAGAGGAGCACTATACAGAGCGTAACATCTTCGTGACTAGAGAAAACTGGTGACAAGTCTTAGTGACCTGGATAACGCCCATCGCATGTTGTACGTTAAGTAGCTACGCATGTTCTGTCGTGAAGAGCGTAGCGCACCTCTCCTGCGTATGATATACGCCTCCATATAGTGACTTGAAACACACACAGTCACGACCAGAACGTGTGGCCTCCCAGATGGAACGGCTGACATTCCAGATGGAACGTGTGACCCCAGAGGTGAGGGGGATGTGACCCCAAAGATGAGGGGGTGTGACCCCAGAGATGGGATGTACCCCTTAAAAATGCTGTCCACTCATGGCAAGTGGTATATATATATATATATATATATATATATATATATATATATATATATATATATATATATATATATATATATATATATATATAATTAGTTTAACATATTCCTCAACATAGCAGGGTACAGTATATCTGGGTAGAGTATATCCGGGTATAACTAACGAAGACTTCCAGAAGTATGCGTTTCTAGGGTTGATAAAGTCTCCCTTGAGGAAGGTACCTTGATCTTGTTGAAAGGCTCTTGATTCAAGGAATTCGACTCTTGTTCCTTTGGATCGAATCCGATTGCCTCCACCAGATTTCCATGACGAGTTTACCGCTTCTGGCTAAATGCTATTATTAAATAATAAGATAGACTTTAAACCTCATTAATCAAGCAACCAACCTTAATGACCCTCGTGTAGTAGATAGACTTTAAACCCCATTAACCAACCAACCAACCTTAATGACCCTCGTGTAGTAGACTTTAAACCCCATTAATCAACCAACCAACCTTAATGACCCTCGTGTAGTAGATAGACTTTAAAACCCATTAACCAACCAACCAACCAACCTTAATGACCCTCGTGTAGTAGATAGACTTTAAACCCCATTAACCACTCCTGATGATACATTTCCTCACTAAATAAGATAATCGGCCTCTTTGTATCTTTTTCCCATATTTATCGTCTGTTTCCCCACGTCCAAGATCAAACGATAAAATCCACAAATAAAACTTTACACGAACAAGCTCAACATGGTGATCATGACCCACAAGTTGATAAGACACATATGCCAGAGTTATGTATCTTTATTCCGGAAGGTTTCGCCTACACAGTGGGTTTCTTCAGTTGAATACCAAGGGCGACAAGTATGGAGACAGTAGAAGCAATTGGACAAGTATCTTCGCCAGATGACAGATCAACCAGGCTGTGTTGAATATGTGGGGGTGCGGGCCACCACCAGCAGCAACAGCCTGGTTGATCAGGCAAGCACCAGACGAGCCTAGCCCATGGCCGAGCTCATCTCACAGCATCACACAGATAGCATCTCAAAGACAGCATCTCAGACAGTATCTCACGCACAGCATCCCGCAGACGCCATCTCACAGACAGCATCACACAGCACAAATAATTCATGCAGTGTCATTCTCAAGATCAAACAAGGAGTTATCAGAATAACTGTGAACATAATCTCCACCTCGAGGTGTTTTCCAGTTTTTTGTGTAGATATTTACATGCTTTAGGACTGTCATGCACCGCTTTGTTAGTTCTGCTACCGACATGAACTGTTGTATTTTAGGACTGTCATGCACTGGTTTATTCTACTAATGGAGTTACCTGGAGTTTACCTGGAGAGAGTTCCGGGGGTCAACGCCCCCGCGGCTCGGTCTGTGACCAGGCCTCCTGGTGGATCAGGGCCTGATCAACCAGGCTGTTACTGCTGGATGCACGCAGTCCAACGTACGAGCCACAGCCCGGCTGATCAGGAACCGACTTTAGGTGCTTGTCCAGTGCCAGCTTGAAGACTGCCAGGGGTCTGTTGGTAATCCCCCTTATGTATGCTGGGAGGCAGTTGAACAGTCTCGGGTCCCTGACACTTATTGTATGGTCTCTTAACGTGCTAGTGACACCCCTGCTTTTCATTGGGGGATGTTGCATCGTCTGCCGAGTCTTTTGCTTTCGTAGAGTGATTTTCGTGTGCAAGTTCGGTACTAGTCCCTCTAGGATTTTCCAGGTGTATATAATCATGTATCTCTTCCGCCTGCGTTCCAGGGAGTACAGGTTCAGGAACTTCAAGCGCTCCCAGTAATTGAGGTGTTTTATCTCCGTTATGCGCGCCGTGAAGGTTCTCTGTACATTTTCTAGGTCAGCAATTTCACCTGCCTTGAAAGGTGCTGTTAGTGTGCAGCAATATTCCAGCCTAGATAGAACAAGTGACCTGAAGAGTGTCATTATGGGCTTGGCATCCCTAGTTTTGAAGGTTCTCATTATCCATCCTGTCATTTTTCTAGCAGATGCGATTGATACAATGTTATGGTCCTTGAAGGTAGATCCTCCGACATGATCACTCCCAGGTCTTTGACATTAGTTTTTAGCTCTATTGTGTAGCTGAAATTTGTTTTATACCATGTTTACCATATCGGAGTAATTGAAATTTCTCATCGTTGAACTTCATATTGTTTTCTGCAGCCCACTGGAAGATTTGGTTGATGTCCGCCTGGAGCCTTGCAGTGTCTGCATTGGAAGACACTGTCATTCAGATTCGGGTGTCATCTGCAAAGGAAGACACGGTGCTGTGGCTGACATCCTTGTCTATGTCAGATATGAGGATGAGAAACAAAATGGGAGTGAGTACTGTTCCTTGCGGAACAGAGCTTTTGACCGTAGCCGCCTCAGACTTTACTCTGTTGGCTACTATTTCTGTTCCGTTTGTGAGGAAATTATAGATCCATCTACCAACTTTTCCTGTTTTTCTAATAATATAATAATAATAATAATAATAATAATAATAATAATATAATAATAATCTTTATTTACTACAAGTACATGCACATGGTATACAGTCCTAGCTGACAACAATGACATACTACTACATAGAAAGCCACTTGTTATGCTGAGCATCTCGGGCAAATTAGGTCAGTGTCCCAGGATGCGACCCACACCAGTCGACTAACACCCAGGTACCCATTTTACTGATGGGGAACATAGACAACAGGTGGAAAGAAACACTCCGAATGTTTCTCTATAGGTTTAAATCCTGTCGTTTACTCTTGAGGTATTTACAACTGTGTTTTTAAGATTATAGCGAAGCTGCGAGTGACAGTAGTTGGACACGAGTGGGACCACATATCCATCACAGCCCCACATATCCATCACAGCCTGGTTGATCTGGCACCTGGTGAAGATATTTGAAGATGCTTCTCCAATCACTAGCTTTTAAATTCAATTCAAAAATTATATAATCTGTGTTGAATTGAAGAAGCAACTGGTGGGCGATGCGTCTTGATGTAGATACCCAGGAACTGCATAAGTGTCTGATATCTCATCTTGTCGGTATTCTATAACAATAACGTAAGAATCTCCTAAAATAGGTTATGCAAATCTGGCTTAGTAATTTATCGGAGAATAAGCAAGTGTTCGCTGCACCTCGGGTGAAAATGTCACGAAGATAATCACCGGGACTGACTCCCCGTTAAGTGTATGTAGTCTCTCCTCTCCTCCCGCAGTGCACCGCTGGACGGCACGACGGGTGGGCGGGATGCTGGCATCTCTCCGGAAACGCAGAGCCTCCTTGTTGTACCTCCTGTGCTCCTCTGCACTGCTGGCCTTCTGCTTCCTCACCACTGCTAGCAGGAACAGCCTGACTAGTCACACCTCCATGGAGATTTACCCCTGGCAGATGGTGAATTACGACGAGTATAAGTGTGGTTGCCCGCGCTCTGGTCCACCAATAGCGACTTCAGGACAACACTCATTGTGCAGTGATTGGTCTAGCAGCAGAGGTGCAGGTCAGAAAGTGGTCTCCTATACCATCTACGGTAACATGAGCCATGAAGGTGTCTACAGACAGTACTATTCAGCGGTCGAAGACCGAATAAAAGATGTCGCTAACTATTATAAAGGTCAGTCACTTAAGGGACACGTGAGGTTTCCCTGTCTCCTAACATGTTCATTTTTCCACTATAATCTACCTTGTCCATAGTTACTATCGCATTTGTTTTATCTGTTTCGTAAGGTGAAGTCCAGGATCTTTCCTCAACTCATGGTATAACTTAAATCTTTGATGTCAGTTGTGTTGTAGAGGTTCTGAGCAAAGCTCAGATACATCATTTACAATTTAACCCTTCAAAGGAAACGCCTTGATATCGGCGAAGGAGGGCTCTTGATGCAATGAATTGAATCTCCCCCTCGGTTTCCCCTTGAATCAAACCTGATTACCCCTCACTGCCACGCATGCTAGTGGTTTTATGTGCTTAGTGTTGTATAACGGTAAACTACATTTTCTAGTTTACGTCTTGTGAAATACAGCTGTATTGTGACTTTTGTGGTCTGTGTCTGTGTATAATAAATCATTTAGTTTCATGGTTGTGTATACATCAGGAGGTGTATATCTATGTATATACATCGTGAGGTTTGTATCTGTATGTACCGAAATGTGTATATCTCAATGCATATATACTTAACGATGTATATCTGTCATCCTTAGGTGTATCAGTATACGCTGAGGTGTATATACACAGGTGTGCATGTCTGATGTGTATATATATATATATATATATATATATATATATATATATATATATATATATATATATATATATACAACGAAACGTGTATTAGTATATACAAGAGATTTTTATCTTGGGGTATAAACACTGATAACTGTCTCGGTATATACACTGGTAGTTTATATTAATCAGCATTTTAGGTATTAAAGTATCCTTGACTGGTGGTGTACAGGTGACATGCAGCCTTAATGACCCTCGTGTAGTAGATAGACTTTAAACCCCATTAACCAACCAACCAGCCTCAATGACCCTCGTGTAGTAGATAGGCTTTAAACCCCATTAACCAACCAACCAGCCTCAATAACCCTCGTGTAGTAGATAGACTTTAAACCCCATTAACCAACCAACCAGCCTCAATGACCCTCGTGTAGTAGATAGGCTTTAAACCCCATTAACCAACCAACCAGCCTCAATAACCCTCGTGTAGTAGATAGACTTAATTTAAACCCCATTAACCAACCAACCAGCCTCAGTGACCCTCGTGTAGTAGATAGACTTTAAACCCCATTAACCAACCAACCAGCCTCAATGACCCTCGTGTAGTAGATAGGCTTTAAACCCCATTAACCAACCAACCAGCCTCAATAACCCTCGTGTAGTAGATAGACTTAATTTAAACCCCATTAACCAACCAACCAGCCTCATTGACCCTCGTGTAGTAGATAGACCTTAAATCCCATTAACCAGCTATTTCTTTCCGTGCTAATCGCCAGCTACATCGGATTATATAATCTGAATTATTATAAAAAACTCACGTATCAGGGGGTCTTAGCTGAGTAATATTCCGCTCTGTGTTGTGGCTTCTTGTCATTCCTTCTTTCTCCTCCCACCTCTTGCTTGTATATATTTTATCCCTCATCCCGTTATTTCCCCCTCGCCTCGCTTTCTCAATATCATCTCCCTCTCTCTCTCATCCCAGTTACATGGAATATACCTAGATCAACCAGGCTGTTACTGTTGGTCGCACGTAGGCCGACGTACGAACCACAGCCCGGCTGATCAGGTACTGACTTTAGGTGTCTGTCTAGCTCCCTCTTGAAGACAGCCAGAGGTCTATTGGTAATCCCCCTTATGTAGTATAGTAATAGTAATTTAAGTTTTGGAAGAAAACCTGTGAAGCTGTCGTAGCTACTTAACCTACTGATGGGATGCTTGATCTCCTTATCCCGTAGTTGGATTGGTAGCGCACTCAGTCCACACATTGACGTCCGACTGGAAACATCAGGGCTTGTTTCCTTAAGACACCTGCTGTCCATGTTCACCTAGCAATAAAATAGGTACCAGGGTGTTAGTGGACTGGTGTGGGTCGCATCCTGGGACAAAATTGGCCTAATTTGCCGGAAATGCTTTACATAACAAGGGGTTTGCTATATAGTAGTATGTCATTGATGTCAGCTATGGTCTGTATACCTTGTACATGTACTTGTAGGAATAAAGCTTATTATTGTTATTATTACTGTTGAAGTCCCCCAGCTCAAGTTGACACATTTCACTACCTCGTGTGTGTGATGCATCCTGTGTGATAGAACAGAACAAGGGAACCCGTCCATATGTAGAACAGGCTTGTACCATACTTTGAATACACTTATTTAGTAAAAGAACAAACGTCTCCAGTCTCTCCTGTCCTCTACTTCGTCCACTCCTTCCTCTGTCAATTTTCTTCTCCAGTTGTCTTTTTAGAGTAGGTTATATGAACCTATAAAAAATTATATAGCCACAAATAAGCAAAGAATGGAAATAGAGAAGAACAGAGACGTAGAAAATAGGACTCAGTAACCTCAACACGTACCTCGGAAATAATAATAATATCTTTGTCTACAAGTACATGATACAACTTATACAGACCATAGCTGACATCAATGACATACTACTATATAGAAAGTCCCTTGTTATGAAGAGCATTTCCCGCAAATTAGGTCAATTTTGTCCCCAGGATGCTACCCACACCAGTCCACTAACACCCAGGTACCTACTTACTGCTAGGTGAACTTGGACAGCAGGTGTCTTAAAGGAAACACGCTCCGAATGTTTCCACCGTCAGCGTTACCTTAAATATTACGATAAATCGTTTATTGTTCTGGTGAGTTCTTTCAGCCAGTCATTATTATTATTACACAAATAAGCCGCACATAGAAGCGACGACGTTTGGGTCCGACTTGGACCATTTACAGTCATTATGGTCGAAGTCAGACCGAAACGTCGTCGTAAGCTCCTCTCTGCTATGTACGGGTTATTTTTGTATTGTTCCAGTTACGGTACCGTTCCTTTGTTTATTATTATTATTATATTAGGTACTACGTATTATTAGTAATACGTATAACTATTCCTATGTAATATTTTCTTTCAGGTTGGATAATGCGCTTGTATCACAACATGTCCAGATCTGACCCCAAAGCCATGGGCTTTATTTGTCACCTTTACTGCCTCTACCCCCACTTCGACCCCTGCCAGGTGGACCACCTCTACCCCACAGCTCCATCCACAACCCCCAAACCCACACCAGTGGGGACAACCCCCGGTTTCTCAATGAAGAAGAGTGTCTCAACCCTGCAGTCTCATCCTGGGGATGGTGGAGAGGCGGCGCAGGGAGAGGTTAGGGATAAGGGTATGGATAGTGAGGATGTTGTGGAGGTGGGGACGGAGGGTAGTGGACGGAGTAAAGATGGTGAGAAAGACAGGTGGTCCACCAGTCAGCACTTCAAAAGTCTTCATCAAATTCTCTCTTCTAGACGGCGAGGTGAGGGATACTTTGTGCTTTTATGATAGTCTACCCTGTTAGTAGTAGTACTGTAATAATAATAGTAACAGTATTAATAGTAATAGCAACAGTAGTAAGATTATTAGTAGTAGCAGTAGCTGTATTAATAGCAGTAGGAGTAGTAACAGTATTATCATTAGTAGTAATAATAGTGGTAATAGTACTATTATTATTGAAGCAGGTTTGATGCGAGTAAGGAGAGCAGCTTCAGTTTCTCTATTACTAACATGACTCACGAAATCGTAATGACACGATTGCAAACAAACCATACCACGGGTGGGGATAGAACCCGCGATCAGAGAGTCTCAAAACTCCAGACCGTCGCGTTAGCCACTGGACCAGCTAGCCACAATAAGATTCGTCCAACTTAGTATATTTCTACACAATAGGAAGGTTAGCATAGGCACCACTGTGACCACAAATGCAAGTTTTTACAGACGAATCTCCAGCTAGCGTGGCCGTGACGAACTCTAGCTCAAGAAATGCCTAGTTGGATGAATCTTATTGTGGCTAGCTGGTCCAGTGGCTAACGCGACGGTCTGGACAACTACTACTACAACTAACCCATCTGTTTGGGAAGGACCTACTTCCACTGGGGAATCCCGCCTACAAGTGACTATGCCCTCATCTGCTACACCTGACCTGACGTTAGTATATAAGTGCCAGGCTCCTTGCTTCTGCTTCAGAATCTCCACGACTATGGTGCTCTTCGCACCTACTCCTAGGTTGAGGGACTGATTACCTCATCTTCTGTATATAGTCCTACTGTCTTCAAGTTATGTCCTGGAATTTGTATTGATAAAGCCACTGGATGGCGAAACGTCTACAATAAAGATACCCAGATGTTGCACATGTGTCTTAATTTCATCTTGTCGGTATTATATACCATTCTTGCACAGTTTTGAGACTCTGATCGCGGGTTCTATCCCCGCCCGTGGTATGGTTTCTCTTTTACTATTTCGCCCACACAGTGAGGGTTCAGTGTGGTGAGTGGGGTTCCCTCTGTGTTGCAAGATCCTCTCTATTTTCAAATTGCAGGTGTTGCAAGATCATCTCTCAAGTTGCAAGCTCTTTATTTTGAAGTTACAGGAGCTGCAAGATCCTGTCTTCCCTTAATCTACATCACTCTCTCTCCCTCTCTCTCTCACAGTGACTCAGCGTTCCTCAAGATACGTAATTCTCCTGACTGGATGATTCTCACACATTTAATATTGATTTTTAACTGGCTGACTGACTACTGCTTGTCATGGCGAGACAAAGATGATATCTGTGTACTCAGACCCCTCAAGGAAGGTTCCTTGATGTTGGTGAGGGGCTCTTGATTTAGGGAATTGGATCTGTGCTCCAGTTCCCCGAATTAAGCCTGAATGCCTTCCACATCCCCCCCCCCCAGGCGCTGTATAATCCTCCGGGTTTAGCGCTTCCCCTTGATTATAATAATAATAATAATGTGTACTCAGGCAGCCACCATCACTTCAATACAGTTTTCCATCGCGTTTTGATTATTATTATTATAACCAAGAAGAGCTAAACCCACTAGGGTCATAGAGCGCTGCAGGCAGGGGGGTGTTGCTGGATCATGGAGCAGCAAGGGTGGCCCGAAATGCCCCACCATGATAGTGACTTTCTTTGTACTTAACAAATAAAAATTATAATTACACATCATAAACATTGCAAAGAAATAAAATCTTTATCTTTATCAGAGGTAGAGTTAGAAACGTCGCCATTTTGAGCTACGACGATCCTTTTTTTGTGGGTAATGGGGCATCTTGTTGCTGATAAAGGGTTGTTTAATGTGAGGAATTGGAGTTGCCCTCCAAGTTCCTTGAGGCAAATCTGATTACTTTTCATTCCCTAAAGAATAAAAAAGTCATAATGCCGTGACTGGCTGGCTGTCTTCGAGGACCTGGACAGGCACCTCAAGTCAGTACCTGACCAGCCGGGCTGTGGTTTATATGTTGGTTTACGTACGGCCAGCAATAATAGCCTGATTGATAAAGCCCTGATCCACCACGAGGCCTGGTCATGGACCTGGCCGTGGGGCCTTTAACCCCCGCAACACTTTCCAGGTATACTTCAGGTATAGGATAAGTTTATTTTATGTTTTAAAGTTTCTTTTCCCGATTACTTCTACTGGTTTAGCGATTACCATAAAAATAATGTGTGGTGATTGTTATAGTTGGGAGGGTTATCTAAACTGTAACGTCAACACACTTCTAACAAGGCAATGAATGAATGATGGAGAATGTGTTTCCTCTTTTTTCAGGTGACCCTACTTCAGTGGGAGACGGTTGGTATGTTCTACTACTACTACTGCTGCTAATATTAATAATAATTTGACAGGAGAGGGGAGCTATGAGAGGCTTCTGGTGGGAAGAATGTGGAGATTCGTGGTGATGGGTGATCCTCTGGTGTCAGAGTTTCTGGTGCGGGATACTGACTCTGTCATCCTGGCCAGGGAGGTTGCTGCTGTGGACCAGTGGCTTCACAACTCCACCGCCCTCCTTCACATCATGAGAGACCACCCGAGCCACAATGGCCTCATACTCGCTGGTAAGTTCTTCCTTATAGTGTGGTAATACGTACCAACAGATTGTTTGAAAAGGACACTTGTGTATAACTCAAAATGCTCTGCATTTATGCATGTGTGTTCTAGTTTTGTTGTAATCTTTTGAGCAGTACTGTGTCATATGTCTTCCAACAGTCCAAGAATATGCAGCCCACCCATCCCTCTCATCTAGCTTGTGTTACCTTGTCATACTACAGCAGACTTAAGATGGGATTTACCATCTCTAAAACAAAACTACAGTGGACCCCCGGTTAACGATATTTTTTCACTCCAGAAGTATGTTCAGGTGCCAGTACTGACCGAATTTGTTCCCATAAGGAATATTGTGAAGTAGATTAGTCCATTTCAGACCCCCAAACATACACGTACAAACGCACTTACATAAATACACTTACATAATTGGTCGCATTCGGAGGTGATCGTTATGCGGGGGTCCACTGTATTTGTTTTTGATGAATCTTCTCCAGGTACTCCACCATTCCTTTGATTGCTTTCTCCATTACCTGATATGGTATATCAACAACATTGGTCTGTAGTTTAATGCTTCCTGTGACCGTTCACTGTGCTGTGGGTAGTGAACCGCTGGCTTTCTCCTCATTAACCCACTAATCATGTGTTTTAAATTCAAGCAGAAGAATTATGCTACTTATTTTGAGGAAAGTTTGAGTGTGAATGGATGTTGATGACGCAGTAAATGACATAATTTTCTTATCAGAGTAACTTTAGAGGTTTGAATAGAATTAATCGAGGTAGTTAAGGGTTGGAGTGCTAGTCATCTGTATTATTTAAATTGCATGACTGGTAGCTCAGTAGTAAAACCTTCAGCTCAGAAAGAGAGGATAAGGATTAGAAAGTTAAGCGATGCATAACAGTTGGGTGTTTCCTTATCCCTACTGCTCTAGTTCACTTAGCAGTAAATAAGGTACTTGCACGTGAGGCAGTTGTGGATTGTATTCTAGGAGAGAAAGACCAGAGAGCCCCAACAGAAATATATCACACTCCTTGGTTGGCTTCTTTCTCTCCACTTTTTTTCCCCAAAGAAGAATGTTGCTGTCCTAACAGGATATTTTTTCTGAATTAAAAACAGTAATTAAAATAGGTTAGATTGTATTAAGGAAATTTGCAAATGAATTTATGGACTGCTAGTAGTATAAATTTGCAGTGTTTGGGAAGGTACATATAGATATTGCAAGCAAACGTTTTTTAGTACATTATGTGCAGCAAATTCATATGAAGCACTAAACCCATGTGGGTAAGTCACTGGTAAGAATGGTGGAATCTTGACCCCCCCCCCTGCCTTCTAATACCAAGACAAATACACAGTCTGACTGCTTGTCTAGTTCTCTCTTAAGTTGTTATGACATTATTGGATCCTTTGTTACGTGGGGCTTTTTCTATTTTTTCTATTGTAACCTATTTATTCCTATATTTTTATGAACATTATATTCCATACCTGGAGTTTACCTGGAGAGAGTTCTGGGGGTCGACGCCCCCGCGGCCCGGTCTGTGACCAGGCCTCCTGGTGGATCAGAGCCTGATCAACCAGGCTGTTACTGCTGGCTGCACGCAAACCAACATACGAGCCACAGCCCGGCTGGTCAGGAACCGACTTTAGGTGCTTGTCCAGTGCCAGCTTGAAGACTGCCAGGGGTCTGTTGGTAATCCCCCTTATGTATGCTGGGAGGCAGTTGAACAGTCTCGGGCCCCTGACACTTATTGTATGGTCTCTTAACGTGCTAGTGACACCCCTGCTTTTCATTGGGGGGATGTTGCATCGTCTGCCAAGTCTTTTGCTTTCGTAGTGAGTGATTTTCGTGTACAAGTTCGGTACTAGTCCCTCTAGGATTTTCCAGGTGTATATAATCATGTATCTCTTCCGCCTGCGTTCCAGGGAATACAGGTTTAGGAACCTCAAGCGCTCCCAGTAATTGAGGTGTTTTTATCTCCGTTATGCGCGCCGTGAAGGTTCTCTGTACATTTTATAGGTCAGCAATTTCACCTGCCTTGAAAGGTGCTGTTAGTGTGCAGCAATATTCCAGCCTAGATAGAACAAGTGACCTGAAGAGTGTCATCATGGGCTTGGCCTCCCTAGTTTTGAAGGTTCTCATTATCCATCCTGTCATTTTTCTAGCAGATGCGATTGATACAATGTTATGGTCCTTGAAGATGAGATCCTCCGACATGATCACTCCCAGGTCTTTGACGTTGGTGTTTCGCTCTATTTTGTGGCCAGAATTTGTTTTGTACTCTGATGAAGATTTAATTTCCTCGTGTTTACCATATCTGAGTAATTGAAATTTCTCATCGTTGAACTTCATATTGTTTTCTGCAGCCCACTGAAAGATTTGGTTGGTGTCCGTCTGGAGCCTTGCAGTGTCTGCAATGGAAGACACTGTCATGCAGATTCGGGTGTCATCTGCAAAGGAAGACACGGTGCTGTGGCTGACATCCATGTCTATGTCAGATATGAGGATGAGGTACAAGATGGGAGCGAGTACTGTGCCTTGTGGAACAGAGCTTTTCACCGTAGCTGCCTTGGACTTTACTCTGTTGACTACTACTCTCTGTGCTCTGTTAGTGAGGAAATTATAGATCCATCGACCGACTTTTCCTGTTATTCCTTTAGAACGCATTTTGTGCGCTATTACGCCATGGTCACACTTGTCGAAGGCTTTTGCAAAGTCTTTATATATTACATCTGCATTCTTTTTGTCTTCTAGTGCATTTAGGACCTTGTCGTAGTGATCCAATAGTTGAGACAGACAGGAGCGACCTGTTCTAAACCCATGTTGCCCTGGGTTGTGTAACTGATGGGTTTCTAGATGGGTGGTGATCTTGCTTCTTAGGACCCTTTCAAAGATTTTTATATGGGATGTTAGTGCTATCGGTCTGTAGTTCTTTGCTGTTGCTTTACTGCCCCCTTTGTGGAGTGGGGCTATGTCTGTTGTTTTTAGTAACTGTGGGACGACCCCCATGTCCATGCTCCCTCTCCATAGGATGGTAAAGGCTCGTGACAGGGGCTTCTTGCAGTTCTTGATGAACACAGAGTTCCGTGAGTCTGGCCCTGGGGTAGTGCATGGGCATGTCATTTATTGCCTGTTCGAAGTCATTTGGCGTCAGGATAACATCGGATAGGCTTGTGTTAACCAAATTCTGTGGCTCTCTCATAAAAAATTCATTTTGATCTTCGACTCTCAGTCTGGTTAGCGGCTTGCTGAAAACTGAGTCATATTGGGACTTGAGTAGCTCACTCATTTCCTTGCTGTCATCTGTGTAGAACCCATCTTGTTTAAGTAGGGGCCCAATACTGGACGTTGTTCTCGACTTTGATTTGGCATAGGAGAAGAAATACTTTGGGTTTCTTTCGATTTCATTTATGGCTTTTAGTTCTTCCCGCGATTCATGACTCCTGTAAGATTCCTTTAGCTTAAGTTCGATGCTTGCTATTTCCCTACGCATTTCAGATATATTGACCTCTTTTAGCCGCTCTGTTATTCTTTTCCGTCACCTGTAAAGGGAGCGCCTGTCTCTTTCTATTTTACATCTACTCCTCCTTTTTCTTAGAGGAATAAGCCTTGTGCATACATCGAGTGCCACCAAGTTAATCTGTTCTAGGCATAAGTTGGGGTCTGTGTTGCTTAGTATATCTTCCCAGCTTATATCAGTTACGACTTGGTTTACTTGGTCCCACTTTATGTTTTTGTTATTGAAGTTGAATTTGGTGAATGCTCCCTTGTGTCTAATCTCATTATGTCGGTCTGGGGCTCCGCGCATACATGTCTGAACCTCAATTATGTTGTGATCTGAGTATATTGTTTTTGATATGGTGACATTTCTTATCAGATCATCATTGTTAGTGAAGATGAGGTCTAGTGTATTCTCCAGTCTAGTAGGCTCTATTATTTGCTGGTTTAAATTGAATTTTGTGCAGAGATTTAAAAGCTCGTGTGAGTGTGAGTTTTCATCAGAGCTGCCTCCTGGTGTTATTATTGCAACAATATTATTTGCTATATTCCTCCATTTTAGGGGCCTTAAGTTGAAATCCCCCAGGAGCAAGATGTTGGGTGCAGGAGCTGGAAGATTTTCCAGACAGTGGTCAATTTTTAACAGCTGTTCCTGGAATTGCTGGGATGTTGCATCTGGAGGCTTGTAGACTACCACAATGACTAGGTTTTGGTTCTCGATCTTTACTGCTAAAACTTCCACTACATCATTTGAGGCATTAAGCAGTTCTGTGCAAACGCAGTTCTCTGCAATGTACAGGCCAACCCCCCCCTTTTGCCTGTTCACTCTGTCACATCTGTATAGGTTGTAACCTGGGATCCATATTTCGTTGTCCAAGTGATCCTTTATGTGGGTCTCAGTGAAAGCCGCGAACATTGCCTTTGCCTCTGCAAGCAGTCCACGGATGAAAGGTATTTTGTTTGTTGCTGGCTTTAGACCCTGTATATTTGCAAAGAAGAATGTCATCGGACTGGTGGTATTGTTGGTACTGGGGTGGGGATTTTTTCTGGCATTAGTATCTGTATCTGTTGGTTTGGAGTGGAGGCCATCGACTGTGGTTCCACTCCAGGAATGACTGGATTTGGTGTACGATTTCTGCCATTTCCTGCCAGTTTTTTTTTCCTTCCTGGCACTAAAAAACCTCTCCCTCTTGAGTGGCTGTGGCTACCCAGGTTTTCCCATGGCCTGGATGTTTTGTATCTTTTTGTCCCCTTTAGATGGTGTGCCTGGCAATTTAAGTTATAGCACAGTCTTTCTTGTACTGAAGAGGTACACATTTCAGGATGAAAAAGCTTACAGGAAGGGAGTTTGCATTTTCCTGTTGTCATATGGGCATGGCATAACTGATGAATGTATCCTCAACCAGTTATAGAAAATTGTTGGCCAAGTAGACTAACAGTAAATAAACATATTTACCAAGATGACACATATGTGCAGTGTAAAACATTGCATAATAGAAGGATACATAATTAGAAAAGTTATTATGCAAAGCATTTTATTTGAACATGATACATAGTTGTACAAGGAATTATAGTAGTTGGGTGTACATGCCAAAAGTCCCTTGTATACAGAGCATTATGGGCAGCTTAAGGTTAACTTAAGATTAACTAAACAATGATATATTCAGTGTTAAAAATAAAAGTAAACAAATTGCAACATGAAGTACAAATGAGTATTTTAAACAATGAAATTTGAACATTTCAGTTAAAGACATTATAGTTGAACAAATTTATATCAAAACAATGTATGTATAATGTAACAAAATGATCAATATACTAAATGAAGTTATACGATTTATTAATCCTATCAAATCGAATAAAATCAATGATTTGTAGTGCAGGAAGAGGTCATATGGTCACTAGATGAGTAACTGTACATTCATGAGAGTGGAGAAGAATGGGGTATTTTATTAGGTAATGTAATTAAAAAACAGTTTGATAGGGTCACAGGTTATACATTCATGAGATACAGTTGTTCAGTATTTATCTAGTTGTGGGTGAGTCAGTGGTTTTTAAGTAGTCTTGAATTGATAAACAAACAATGTTTCTTTTGTATTCACAGGTAATGAATTCCAGATTTTTGGGCCTTTTATGTGCATCGAAATTTTACATAGTGTGAGATGGACACGGGGAACATCAAAGAGTGATCTGTGTCTTGTGTTATGGTCATGTGTTCTGTTGAGGTTGGTAAGATGTTTGAGGGGAGGGTTTATATCTGAGTTTAGTGTTCTATGTATGTAGTAGGCACAATAATAAGTATGGATGTTTTGTATGGTAAGTTTAGAGTTTTGTATATTGGTGTAGTATGCTGCCTGGAGTGGGAATTTATCATCATTCTGACTGCAGCCTTCTGTTGGCTAATTAATGGTGTGAGATGATTTGTTGTTGAGCCCCATGCACAAATTCCATAGAGGTGAGATAGGGGTAAATAAGTGAGTGATATAGGGCCAGGAGAGCTGACTGTGGAACATAGTACTGTATCTTCGATAGTATGCCTACGGTCTTGGAGACTTTCTTGGAAATTTGTTGTACATTTGTTTGAAATTTGAGTCTATTATCAAGGTGGATTCCTAAGAATTTTCCCTCTGAGCTTTGTGATAGGTGATCCATTTATCATTATGTTAAGAGGAACATCTGTAGTTCTGTTCCCAAACTGAATGAAGTAGGTTTTGTCAATATTGAGAGTAAGTTTGTTAATCATCATCCAGGTAGATATTTTCTGTAATTCGGTATTTACAGTATTGGCTAGTATGACTGGGCTTGTGTGAGACCTGGAGTTTACCTGGAGAGAGTTCCGGGGGTCAACGCCCCTGCGGCCCGGTCTGTGACCAGGCCTCCTGGTGGATCAGAGCCTGATCAACCAGGCTGTTACTGCTGGCTGCACGCAAACCAACGTACGAGCCACAGCCCGGCTGGTCAGGAACCGACTTTAGAGAAGACGTATGTAGTGTCATCTCCAAATAGTGTGGGTTTGAGTAGTTGCGATGCATCTGGTAGGTCATTTATGTGAATGAGAAAGAGAAGAGGGCCAAGGACACTTCCCTGTGGGAAGCCAACTGTAATTGGTTGTGTAGAAGAGTTTGCTCCATTTATGTACACATATTGGCTTCTGTTGCTAAGGTATGACTTTAGGTAGTTGAGGGAGTGCCCTCTTATACCATAGTGTGATAATTTTATGTGTAACAAATCATAGTCAACTGTATCAAAAGCTTAACGTAAATCAATGAAGATCCCCAGTGGGACTTCTTTTTTCTCTATTGCAGTGTATATTTGTTCTAGCATGTGGATAATAGCATCATTCGTATTTTTATTAGGCCTGAACCCAAAATGACAGTGGTTGAGTATGTTGTGGGAGATGAAGTAGGAATAGATTCGCTTATGAATTAATTTTTCAAAGATTTTAGAGAGAGGGTGTAAGTTGGATATTGGCCTATAGTTATTCAAGTCTGCTTTATGTATCGGGGTGACCCTCGCTATTTTGAGAACTGTAGGGAAGGTAGAGGATTCGATTGATTTGTTCAAGTGTTGCAATGTTTGGTGACAGTACTTGTGAAGCTTTTTTGTATATAAAGGGTAGTAAGGTATTTAAATCTCCTGCCTTGTTCTTTGGTGTGTTGATAATAAGAGAGACTTCTGTTGGGTTGGTCGGAGCTAGGAACAGTGTGTTAGGTAAGTGCCAGTGAGGTAGTCATCAGGTGGGGTATTTGAGCTTGGGATTTTATCCGCCAGGTTTTTTCCTATGGTGGAGAAGAAAACGTTGAGTTTGTGTGCTGTTTCAGTCTGTGAGAGTAGGGGGTTTATCTGGTTTTGTTAGTTTGATGGTTCTGTTTCCTGATACCTTTTTTTGTTCCTAAAATTTCGGATAAGGTTTTCCAGGCCTTTTTTTATATCGCCTTTTGAGTTGGATAATCTGTTCTCATAATACAATTTTTTTGCCCTTCTTATCAGGCTGGTTAGGATTGATGAGTAACGTTTTGTTTGGTCTCTTGTTATGTGACCCATTCTGTACTGTTTTTCATATATGTGCTTTATATTTATGGATTTGAGGATGCAGGGTGTTAGCCAGGGACTGTTCAATCTCTTAGCTGTGATCTGTTTAGTTTTTTTTAGGGCAGTGCTTGTTAAAGAGGTATTGGGTCTTTTTTAGACTGTTCAATTGCCTCCCAGCATACATAAGGGGGATTACCAACAGACCCCTGGCTGTCTTCAAGAAGGCACTGGACAGGCACCTAAAGTCAGTACCTGACCAACCGGGCTGTGTTTTGTACATCAGCTTGTGTGCGACCAGCAGTAACAGCCTGGTTGATCAGACCCTGATCCACCATGAGGCCTGGTCTCAGACCGGACTGTGGGGGTGTTGACCCCCAAAACCCTCTCCAGGTAAACTCCAGGTCTCCAGGTATCTGTATAGGTTTCTAGCTCAGTTTGCCAGTCAATGTTTGTCATTGCTGTTGTGAAGTTATTAATGGCTGCCTCATTATGAAGTCTGAAGGTTACTTTAGTAGTATCTTGGGGTAATTTGCCTAGATTGGTTATGAGAAAGGTAGGGTAGTGGTCTGTGGTGTTATCTGTGATTATGCCTGATTTTAAAGGGGATATGGTGTTGGTCCAGATGTGGTCTAATAGGGAAACACTAGTCTCAGAGATTCTTGTAGGTTTTGTTACTGTTGGTAGCAACAAGCAGTTACTCAGTGTTTGTGAATTCAGTTACTTGTGGGTCTTGGTCTTGCAGATTTATATTGAAGTCTCCTGTGAGTAGTAAGTGATCTTCGTTCATGCGTGCATCAGTTATACTTCCTAGGTTTTCACTAAAACGGCTAATATTTGACTGTGGTACTCTGTAGATGTTTATCACTGTGAGAGGTTTTTGTAGATATTTGTATTTGAATTTAGCTATTATATATTCCCCATGTTCATCCCTTGTGCAAGTATTATTGATACATGGAAATATAAACACAAATGCAGTATAATGTGATCCTTTATTGACAACGTTTCACCCACACAGTGGGCTTTCTCAAGTCACACACGGATCTACCTGGGGTTGGAAGGTACGAGAGTATTTATAGTCAGAATGTTGAGGTCAGGTGAAGAATGCTGCAACTGATGATCTACCGGGTGGGGTTATAGAGTCTTGGGTAGCTTGGCAGGGGTATTGGACAAGTTGTAGACCTTCTGCAGTGTTCTATGTTCTTATGTGGGATAGCGATGAAGAAGTTTCTTGGCGAGTGGTTCAGCTATGTTATAGAAGCCATTGTTCTGGTTGAAATTGTTGGTTATAGAGATAAGCGATGATTCCAGGATTCTTCTGTATTGAGTGTTGTCTTCTGTGGCTATAAGTCTTGAGTTTCTGTAGTTAATTAAATGGTTGTGTGAATTGCGATGCTGTACACAGGCATTCCTTGTATCGTCAGTCCTGCTTGCATATTGGTGTTCTGAAATGCGTGTTTGGAGGTCTCTTGATGTTTCGCCCACATATAATTTGTTGCAGTCATTACAAGGGATTATGTATACCCCTGCAGAGGATGGAGGCTTGTCCTGTCTACTACTGGTGATGTCCTTGATGGTCGTGGTTGTGGAGGTAGATACTTGGAATGATGTTTTGGCAAAGATGTTGGAAACATGTTTGGCAATGGAGTTGTTGGGGAGGACTATGTATCTCTTCTCGGCAGTGTCTTCTCTGGGTGTGTTGAAGATGTTTAATGCCCGCCGTCTGCAGTCTCCAAGTGACTAGGATAGTGGAGTTTGGAAAATACTTGTTCAATTATAGTGCATTCTTCCTCAAGGAACTCATTGCTGCAGATTCTGAGTGCACGTAGGAAGAAGCCTATAATCACACCACGTTTGATTTTGGTGTCGTGGTGAGAGTAGAAGTGGAGAAGATCGTTTTGGTTGGTGGGTTTTCGATAGACTTTAAAACGAAGTTCGTGGTCAGCTTTGCAGAGCAGAACATCAAGGAAAGGAAGAGTGTTGTCGACTTCTTCTTCAAGTGTGAACTGGATTGAAGGCTCGACCTGGTTGAGCTTGTCTTGGAGAGCTTGAACGTTGAAGTGTTTAGGAGTTATGAGGAGAATGTCGTCAACATAACGGTTATATGTTATATGTGTTATATGTGGGCGAAACATCAAGAGACCTCCAAACACGCATTTCAGAACACCAATATGCAAGCAGGACTGACGATACAAGGAATGCCTGTGTACAGCATCGCAATTCACACAACCATTTAATTAACTACAGAAACTCAAGACTTATAGCCACAGAAGACAACACTCAATACAGAAGAATCCTGGAATCATCGCTTATCTCTATAACCAACAATTTCAACCAGAACAATGGCTTCTATAACATAGCTGAACCACTCGCCAAGAAACTTCTTCATCGCTATCCCACATAAGAACATAGAACACTGCAGAAGGTCTACAACTTGTCCAATACCCCTGCCAAGCTACCCAAGACTCTATAACCCCACCCGGTAGATCATCAGTTGCAGCATTCTTCACCTGACCTCAACATTCTGACTATAAATACTCTCGTACCTTCCAACCCCAGGTAGATCCGTGTGTGACTTGAGAAAGCCCACTGTGTGGGTGAAACGTTGTCAATAAAGGATCACATTATACTGCATTTGTGTTTATATTTCTATTGTGTCGGTATTTTATACCATTTATTACCATTATTGATACATTCTAGTTGGTCTGAGTGGTATATAGCTGTGCCACCCCCTTGTTATTATTATTATTATTATTATTATTATTATAATCAAGGGGGAAGCGCTAAACCCAGAGGATTATACAGCGCCTAGGGGGGGATGTGGAAGGCATTCAGGCTTAATTCGGGGAACTGGAGCACAGACACAATTCCCTAAATCAAGAGCCCCTCACCAACATCAAGGAACCTTCCTTGAGGGGCACCCCCTTGTTGATTTAGGATTTCTACTTAGCCAGGGATTTATTGCTTGGTCTTTTTTTTTTTTTTACTGAGACGAATGTTTGTAGATACTGTCTGCTATCCAGGAAGATTAAGTCACAGTAAATGATTGTATAGAACAGTTAAAACACTCAGTGCTGGAGAGGAGACATTGGATGATGTTTTGGCTCATCCTGAAGTATTAGTCTGCCCAAAATGGTAAACTCCAGGTAAACTCCAGGCTTTCTTTTGTGCTTGACAGTATAAGGCCAACAGTAACAGCTTGGTTGATAAGGGCCTGATCCACCATGAGGCCTGGTCACAGACCGGGTTGTGGGGATGTTGACTCCCAAAACCCTCTCCAGGTATTACATGTTTCTTGTTTATTTCCTTTTATCTCCATGGGGAAGTGGAACAGAAATCTTTCTCTATAAGACATGCACGTTGTAAGAGGCACCTAAAATGCCGGGAGCAAGGGGCTAGTAGCCCCTTCCTTTGTATACATTGCTAAATGTAAAAGGAAAATCTTTCATTTTTCTTTTTAAGTCACCCTGCCTCAGTGGGATACGGCTGGTTTGTGAAAAAAAAAAAAAAGATAAAATGTGTGTAAACTGCATTTTGTATACTGCAGAAAAGAAATAGAGTTGTATTGTATTATAAAGGCACAAGTGAGAGAAAATAAGGAGAAAAGCAGAAGACATGTTGTCCTCCCACTTTCTCACTCAGTTGCAATTTGATAATGGTACAGGATGGACTGAAACATTTTCCAACTTTTCCTCTCCAAATTGTGGGCTGTGAATGTGCTATCCATTTGTAGTGTGAGAGCTGGAGTGCAACACTGAGGTCATCTTATTAAGAAACGTTTCACCCACTTAGGGCTTTTCCAGTTATTGAAGTGATAACGCTCCAGTGTACAAAACAGCTACTAGTAGAATCCTACATATTTAATTATTACAACCAAAACTAAGTGCTAAACCCACAAGGGTCATATAGTGTTGCTATGTATTTCATACATACCTTTATTCCCACAGCTTCTGGGTATTGAAATATCTAGTATTTGTATTGTTGCTTGAGAATATTTTTGTTACCCTGTGTGTTGTGTTTGTGCAGGGATGTGGGGTGGCTCCCGGACGCGGGGAGGGGAGAAGATGACAGAGATGTTGCAAGCAATGATGCGCTGGCCGCCACGTAACATCTGGGATTATGACCAGGTGTTGCTCAAGAGGGTCGTCTGGCCGGACATGCTTGACACTGTGGTGAGTCCTCATCCTCCTTTCACTGTATTGTATTTCACGAGGTGCAAAGCCCATGTGGATCATTCAGCTCCCACCTTCATGTGTTAGTGTGACTTTGTAAATGGTCCAAGTCAGACCGAAACATCGTCGTAAGCTTCTGTCTCTCCTACGTGCTGGTTATTTGCGTATTGTTCCAGTCACGGTATTCTGACTTTCTGTTCTTTATACGCATAGGAATTGATAGATACTGTGTTTTAATGATTACAATCATAACCAAGTGCTAAACCCATAAGGGTCATACAGTTACTGTGTTTTAACTATCTCAGACTGGCAGAGACATCTCTGCCAGTTTCAGGCTCAGGTCCTACAGGGTGACACATTAAATATTTTAAACATTTATATAGTACACTGTGTAGATATATCCTAGGATAACATTAGTCAAATACTGTGGTTTATAAGCACATTTAAGATGTACCCAAGATGCATCAATTCTTACCTTCATTGGAAAAGTGCCCTAACAAAGGGACCATAAAGCTGATCACATACGTACTACTTTGCATTAAGTTTGATTATCGTGTGTGTGTCTGCTAAACTGCCAAGTCTAAACCTGGATACTGCAACATTAGTCAGTTTGTTTACATTACAAGTTGGTTCATAAATGTTCTTATCAATGTTCATGTTATAGCAAGTTACAGATCTCAGGCTTTTATCTGCAGTCCAGTGACATTCTGATTCACTATTTACTTCTATCCTAAAATTATTAATTTTGCTTGATACATATGTACCAAAGTAATATTCAACTTTTTTCTTCAAGGTGCTTTCTTTGATTAATTTATCAACCTTATCAAGTAGAAATAATTCCAATATGTATACCTGGAGAGGGTATACATGTGATGGAATCTATACATTAATTCTTATCTGACTTTTATTAATATTTAACTTTCATATAGTCGGACTTGAGTCCTGGAAATGGGAAGTACAATGCCTGCACTTTAAAGGAGGGGTTTGGGATATTGGCAGTTTGGAGGGATATGTTGTGTATCTTTATATGTGTATGCTTCTAAACTGTTGTATTCTGAGCACCTCTGCAAAAACAGTGATAATGTGTGAGTGTGGTGAAAGTGTTGAATGATGATGAAAGTATTTTCTTTTTGGGGATTTTCTTTCTTTTTTGGGTCACCCTGCCTCGGTGGGAGACGGCTGACTTGTTGGAAAAAAAAAAAAAAAAAAATCTTGGCTTCTGCAATGAGCATATTAATTATTATGCGAGTCAAGTGCATTCAATGGTGACACAGATTCGGTAATAATCAATGTGTCAGACTTACTGTCATAACCTAACTTTAGTGCCATTAGGATAGCAAACAATTCATCCTGTAATGTAGAAGCCCAGTTGTTATTATTATAATCATGAGGGAGCACTGAATCCATAGGGATTATAGAGCACCTGTGGGGGAGGGGGGAATGGAAGGTATTCAGATTGAATTCAGGGAACTGGAGCACAGATCCAATTCCCTAGAGCAATAGCCCCTCACCAGCTTCATGGAACCTTCCCTAAGGGAAAAGCCCAGTTGTTAATTTTCATACCTAACTCAAGATTGCTATGAATAATATCTAGGGTGGCTGTAATAAGAGCAAATGTATCTTCACTGCTACTCTTATTTAGATCCATCATTGTACATAATTTATACAGTTTTCCTAATGCTTAAGCGAGAAGTTTCTAAAAAAAGTCACAATACCATGACTGGAACAATACGCAGATAACCTGCACATAGGAGAAAGAAACTTATGATGACGTTTCAGTCCGACTTGGATCATTAATTAGTCACAAAGTTTCTTCTTGAGCAGTTGCCTTTGTAATTGATTTAAGAATGGGAAACTTTTTTTCCAATTAAATTTTCACTAGAAGTGAATGTTTGCCTTTTAAACCCTAAGAAAAGATTTACCAAAATAACTCTCTCCACCAGCTGGCCCACGACAGTTACTTTTGCGGCAACCCTCACTTCCAGTCACGTCACCGCTCACAACCTTTCCCCACACAACGTGTGGGCCGCTACTTCGTTGGCTGGGGGCCCACCAGGGACCATGAGCTACCGGGGATCACCATGTGCCCCAGTCTATGCCGACCACCACAACACCAAGATTGGCTGTACTGCTGACTTTAGTCTTGTGGTTCAGTGGTAGTGCCTCTGTACTTACATGTAAGAGACCTGGGCTTGAGCTTGGCACTGAAGATGTTAGGTATGTTGCCTTACACCTGTTTGCCTAGATGTCAGATGACTGTTGTGGGATCTTAGGGAGGAGGCTCAAAGGGCATCAGTGAAAATAAGCCACATTGCTTGGTTTTCTTGGGTTATCCTGGGTTTCTAATCCTCAGTTCCTTGTCTCTACTGCTTTGTTATTGTATTCATCAGGGAAAAAAATCACCATATACGAGTGTCATGAAAATTTGTTTAGTGGTGCTGTTGACTTTATGACAGCTGTAAGCACAGTATGCAACAGCCTCTCTCTTGTCATAATAATAATAATCTTTATTTCTAGAAATACATGCACGAGATATACAGGGCTAGATGGCAATGGCATACCTCTATATAGAAAGCCCCATGTTATGCAGAGGATTCTGGGTAAATTAGGTCAATTTTGTCCCAGGAGGCCTGGTCACAGACCGGGCCGCGGGGGCATTGACCCCCGAAACTCTCTCCAGGTAAACTCCAGGTAACTCCAGGATGTGACCCATACCAATCAACTAACAACCAGGTACCTCTTTTACTGATAGGTGAACATGAACAGCTTATAGACAGCAGTGTAATATCAGGATATACTGTACCAGTTGGCCCTGAGGTATCTATAGGAACAGTAGAGTTGTGTCTTGTCTTACACTGAAGATGATATATGTTGATGAGAAACGTGGCAGTTGTTAACCCTGTGGAAGGCTATGCTCAAGCATCTGCTGATTTACTGCAAGAAGGCTATTTAGAGTATTAATCTAGAGGTCTGGTTATCCAAGATAACCAGAAACCAAGTTATTTTTTTTTTTTTTTTATTATCACACCGGCCGATTCCCACCAAGGCAGGGTGGCCCGAAAAAGAAAAACTTTCACCATCATTCACTCCATCACTGTCTTGCCAGAAGGGTGCTTTACACTACAGTTTTTAAACTGCAACATTAACACCCCTCCTTCAGAGTGCAGGCACTGTACTTCCCATCTCCAGGACTCAAGTCCGGCCTGCCGGTTTCCCTGAATCCCTTCATAAATGTTACTTTGCTCACACTCCAACAGCACGTCAAGTATTAAAAACCATTTGTCTCCATTCACTCCTATCAAACACGCTCACGCATGCCTGCTGGAAGTCCAAGCCCTCGCACACAAAACCTCCTTTACCCCCTCCCTCCAACCCTTCCTAGGCCGACCCCTACCCCGCCTTCCTTCCACTACAGACTGATACACTCTTGAAGTCATTCTGTTTCGCTCCATTCTCTCTACATGTCCGAACCACCTCAACAACCCTTCCTCAGCCCTCTGGACAACAGTTTTGGTAATCCGCACCTCCTCCTAACTTCCAAACTACGAATTCTCTGCATTATATTCACACCACACATTGCCCTCAGACATGACATCTCCACTGCCTCCAGCCTTCTCCTCGCTGCAACATTCATCACCCACGCTTCACACCCATATAAGAGCGTTGGTAAAACTATACTCTCATACATTCCCCTCTTTGCCTCCAAGGACAAAGTTCTTTGTCTCCACAGACTCCTAAGTGCACCACTCACTCTTTTTCCCTCATCAATTCTATGATTCACCTCATCTTTCATAGACCCATCCGCTGACAGTCCACTCCCAAATATCTGAATACGTTCACCTCCTCCATACTCTCTCCCTCCAATCTGATATTCAATCTTTCATCACCTAATCTTTTTGTTTATCCTCATAACCTTACTCTTTCCTGTATTCACCTTTAATTTTCTTCTTTTGCACACCCTACCAAATTCATCCACCCAATCTCTGCAACTTCTCTTCAGAATCTCCCAAGAGCACAGTGTCATCAGCAAAGAGCAGCTGTGACAACTCCCACTTTGTGTGTGATTTCTTTATCTTTTAACTCCACGCCTCTTGCCAAGACCCTCGCATTTACTTCTCTTACAACCCCATCTATAAATATATTAAACAACCACGGTGACATCACACATCCTTGTCTAAGGCCTACTTTTACTGGGAAAAAATTTCCCTCTTTCCTACATACTCTAACTTGAGCCTCACTATCCTCGTAAAAACTCTTCACTGCTTTCAGTAACCTACCTCCTACACCATACACTTGCAACATCTGTCACATTGCCCCCCTATCCACCCTGTCATACCAAGTAACCAGGTAGTGTGGTTTATTTCCATTGTGGTCCTTCGGCTCTTTCCTGGGATGCCACACACAATAGGTAATAAACACCCAAGTACCTACTTACTGCTAGGTGACTAAGAGAACATGCTTATCTTCTCCACCCAGCCCATGCTCCTTTCCAGGTTCTAAGGATCACTTACCATGAGCCACCCCCACTATCCTATCTCCACCATTCCATTATTTTAGTATCTTAATTTAGCATTAAAAATAAAAAGTATTTTACTGTATGTTATTAGAAATCTGGTCCTTCAAGGAAGGGGTCTATATGCTGTTGAAAAGCTCTTGATACGAAGACTTGGAACTACCTTCCCCTTTTTCAGATCACACTTGTATGACCCCCAAAGACCTTGTTGATGGTTGGACACACTTAGCTTGCACCACAACACTCCATGCCACAGGTTTGGCAGGAAGAAATTTTCAAACGTCCAAAATATCAGCCCACTGGTGAAATCAAGACTGTCGCATACTTTTATTACATATTTATTTCCAAAAAAATCATGAGTATTTCCCTTGGTTCCCTCATGTTACAAAAAATGCAACAGCTATTAAGAATAAACATCTCCAGTGAATACTATAAAGGTCTGCCCCTCTAGCATTCAGTCTGTTGCTGGGTTTTTGTAACAAGTAGTCAGTATCCTGGTCCAGTTATTCATTAGAATTTAATGGTATCTTAGGATTTCAACTGATAGGGTACTAACTGAAATTAAAATTAAGATATTTATTAACAAAGATAAAGCTGTCTAGGTGGACAATATCAAAGTATATTAATTTATATAATATAGGATATAAGTTCCTACACTCCTCTCGTATACAGTATTATTGTGCTGAAGGCACATATATCTTTATGGCTCTTAAATATCGTCTGGTACATTGTCAACATTTAAGAACATAATACTAATATATACAAGTGAGTATATGTGCATGTGTATGTGTGTGCTCTAAATAGTTTGCTAAGTCTCCAGACTTGACTCGACTTAACCAGTGACTGACTAAACGTCCTCACATAATCTATCTTCCTGACCAACCTGGCAATCAGAACAGCTTGCTTGAACAGTAAGACAACCGATTCGCTGAACAGCAACATACCTAGCAGCAACAACACAGTCGGAAACAAGAAGATAAAATAACGACCCTAACTGGGGACCATCTGCAGATCCTCCACAAGTCACAAAACTCCCATAATACTGAATCTAAGTTCAGCATAAAATCCCCAACTGCGACGGTGCACAGATACCAGAACAGATTAGGTCAGAAGCTACAGCTCAGGATCTGAGATAACTTTAGTGTCAGTGCGACACAACCTCAGTAAACATCGAAAATCACTAAGTCTAGGCCATGCTCTGTGAACAGAGTTAGTCACGAGAAGTATGTTTCATCTCGCCACAGAAAACATTACCAAAACAGTCTAAACAATGAACTAATAACAAAGAGAGAGTGACAGAGATGTTGCTCCAACAAGGGCCAGCAAGGGAGAGCTGGAGGGTGTTGTTGGAACCAGCACCAGCCAGAGAGAGAGGAAGGCAAGGCTGTCTCCCATCAGGTGGGTGTGATCACCCCTGGTCACATGACTCCCCGATGGCCCATGCTGCCCCACAACTCAGGGAACGGGGAAAAAGAAAGGCGCAATTTAGGTGTTTGCCCAACTCTGGGCGCTATAAACACTCTTGAGAAATGGACAGAAATAAGGTGTAAACGTTACATCCTACCTGATAATAACTAAGTAAATTTTAATAATATAAAGAAATATTTTACGATTTGTAATATCACAAGTATCATAAATAAAATTATATGAACAGGTAATATACTTATATTGAGATATTACATTGTAAGGTAGTGGGTTGGTAACAGAACCACCCAGGGAAGTATTTCCCGCCCCTCCCAGATGACTGTGAAAAAAAAACCCTGTAACTGTTTTGCATGATGGTAGGTTGCGGGCTTCTTTTTCGTCTCATAAACACGCTAAGATAACAGGGTATCTTGCTATTTCCACTTACACTTTGGTCACACTTCAAGACACGCACATGCATTATATATTACATAATCTGGTTTTTTTCTCCTTTTTTAAATAGCTCTTGTTTTTTTTTTTTCTCTATTGCCCAGGGGGAAAGTGGAAAAAAAATCTTTCCTCCTAACCCATGCGTGTCTATGAGGGCCCTAAATGCCGGGGCAATGGGCTAGTAACCCCTTCCCTGTATAAATTACAAAAAAAGGAAGAAAAAAAAATTTAAAAATGGGTTGCTTAAATGTGCGGGATGTAGTGCGGATGACAAGAAAACAATGATTGCTGATGTTATGAATGAAAAAAATTTGGGTGTCCCGGCCCTAGCGAAAAAAAGCTGAAGGGGGTAGGAGAGTTTCGTGGGGGGAAAAAAATGGGATTTAAAACGGAGTATTGAGAGAGTTAGAGCAAAGAGGGGTAGCAGTAAGTTAAAGATCAGTTAGGAAGGAGAAAAGAGTATGAATGTGTAAATCAAGAATTAGTGGGGTTAAAAAAAGGTTGGGTGCGAGAAGTGGGTCATAATAAGCGTTATGACCCGGGAAGAGAGGAATGGAGGGGAAGAGAATTTTGGGAGAGTTAAATGATGTAAGGACCTTTTAACCAAGTGAGAGAGTAATTGTGGAGGGGACTTGAATGCAAAGTAGGAGAAACTTTTAGAGAGGGTGTGGTAGGTAAGTTTGGGGTGAGGTGTAAATGATAATGGGGCCCTTTGATTTAATTTGTTAGAAAGGGGTTTAATTATAGGGGAAACATATTTAAGAAAAAGAGATAAATAAATATACACGATTGATTGAGGGCGAAATGACAGTAGTTTGTTGGATTTGTATTGGTAGATAAAAGACTGTTGAGTAGACTCGGTTACATGTTTATAGAGGGGCCCCAGAATATCAGATCACTTTTAGTTGTAGCTACACGAGAGTAAAAGGTAATGGGATACAAGGAAATAGAGCATAGGGGAAAAGAGAGGGAAGGTTTATAAACTAAAAGAGGAGGGGAGTTGGGTAAGATATAAACAGCTATTGGAGGTAGAGGGGCTAATGAGAGCATAGGCAAGGGTCAAGGGTATGGGGTAGGTTTAAAAATGTAGTGTTAGAGTGTTCACGAAGTTTGTGGGTTTCAGGGGAAAGTGGGTGCAGGAGGGAAAGAGGAGGATTGGTGGAATGAGATGTAAAGAGAGTAGTAAGGGAGAAAAATTGCTAGAGAGTTTTTTCAAAATAGAAGTGATGCAAAGGGGGGGAAGAGTATGGAGAAAAAGAGAAAGTTAAGGAGTGGGGAAGAATGTAAAAAAAAGCAAATGGGAGTGGGTGGATGTTATCAACAAATTTTGTTGAAAATAAAAAAAGTTTTTTGGGGTGAGATAAAGTTAAGAAAGCCCGAGAACAAATGGGTTTGTCATTAAAAAAAAGGAGAGGGGAGTTATTAAAAGGAGAGTTAGAGGTATTGGGAAAGAGGGAAAAGGAAATTTTTTAGGAATTGTTTTAAAAGTTGATGAAGATAGGGAAGCTGTGATTTGGGTGTAGGGGGCAAGGGGAATAAATTTGGGGAAAGTGGGGAAAAGACCCGGTTGTGAGTGGGGGGGAAGTTCGTGAGGCGTAGGTAAAAGGGAAAGGGGGTAAGGCAGCCGGGATTGGGGGAAAAAAAAGATGGGAAATTTTTAAAAGCAGGTGGGGAAAATATTTTTTGGAGTGGTTGGTGAAATTTAAATTTAAAAGGGTATGGAAAAAGGGTAAGGTACCTAGGGTTTGGGAAGGGAGATGCAAGTTCCTTTTTTATAAAGGAAAAGGGGGAAATAAAAGAGATTTGCAAAAATTTGGGGGGTTAAGTTGTTGAAGCCCGGGTTAAAAGGTTTAGGTTTTGAGTTATAATTTGAAAAAATTTAAGAGTAAGCGGAAAAATAGGATAGCGATGAACAAGGAGGCTTGGGAAAATAGGGGGGGGTGTGGACGGTTTGTTTACAGGGAAAATAAAAAGTGAACAGTATTTAGAAAACGGAAAAGGGGTTTCTTTGGGGCTTTTTGGGTTTTGGGAAAAAGGGGCTTTAGGGACAGGGTGGATAGGGGGGCAATGTGGCAGTTTGTTGAAAGGGGTGTTGGTTTTAGGGGGTAGGTTACGGGAAGCGTAAAGAGTTTTTACGAGGATAAGTGAGGCCCCAATTTTAGGTTTGTGGGAAAGGGGGAAATTTTTCCCAAAAAAAAAGAGGCCTTAGACAAGAGGGTTTTGATGTCACCGGGTTGTTTAATAAATTTTTTTAGATGGGGTTGAAAGGGGAAAGAAAATGCGGGGTCTTGGCAAAAGGCGGGGAAAGTTAAAAGAAAAAGAATCACACACAAAAGGGGGGAGTTGTCCCGTGCTTTTGCTGTGCCCTGTGCTTTTTGGGGATTCTAAAGAGAAGTTGCAGAGATTGGGGAATAAATTTGGTTTGGGGGGTGCAAAAAAAAAAATTTAAAAGGTGAAAAACGGGAAAAAAGATTTAAGGGTTATGAGGTAAAAAAAAAAATTGGGTGATGAAAGATTGAATACCCAAAATTGGGGGAGAGAGTATGGAGGAGGTGAAGAAATTCAGATTTTTGGGGAAAGGGGGAAGTGTCAGAGATGGGTCTATAAAAGATGAGGTGAATATAGAATTGATGAGGAAAAAAAGAGTAAAGGGGTGACTTAGGAGCTTTTTGGAGAAAAAGAATTTGCCCTTGGGGGGAAAAAGAGGGGAATGTATGAGAGTTTAGTTTTACCAACGCTCTTTAAGGGTTTTGAAACGGGGTGATTTAATGTTTTCAGCGAGGAGAAGGCTTTGGGGGCAGTGGAGTGTCTTTTCTGAGGGCAAAAATGTGGTGTTTATATAATGCAGAGATTTGTTTGTTTGGAAAGGGTTTGGAGGGGGTGGGGTTTTCCAAACCCGTTGTCCGAGGGCTGAGGAAGGGGGTTTTTGAGGTGGTTCGGCCCTGTAGAGAGAATGGGGTGCGAACAGGGAAAGACTTCAAGAGTGTATAGTCTGTTGTGGAAGGAAGGGGGGGTTGGGGTCGGGGTAGGAAGGGTTGGAGGGGGGGGGTTTAAAAAAGGGTTTTTTTGTGCGAGGGGCTTGGACTTTTCCGCAAAGGGATGGTGAGCGTGTTTTTATAGGAGTGAAGGAGACAAAAAAGGTTTTTTAAAACTTTGGGGTCCTGTTGGAGTGTTTAAACAAAAATTTTAAAATTTTTGAAGGGATTCAGGGAAAAACCGGGGGAGGCGGACTTGAGTCCGGAGATGGGGAAATACAGTGCCTGCATCTGAAAAGGGGGGGTTTTTAAATTTTTGCAGTTTAAAAATGTAGTGTTTAAAACACCCTTCTGGGCAAGACTTTTAGGAGTGAATGATGGTGAAAGTTTTTCTTTTTCGGGCCACCCTGCCTTGGGGGGGAATCGGCGGAGTGTTTAAAAAAAAAAAAAAAAAAAAAAAAACATTGAGGGCCCCTTCAGGGGTTTTCAATCCCCCAGTTTTTGAATTTTTCCTGCCAAAAATTTAAAAATTTAAATAAAACAATGAACATCTATTTTTTAAACATCTTTAAAATTTTAAAAGTTGTAAACATGTTATAATAAGTGCTAAACCCATAAGGGGCATTTTGTTTGGGGATAACAATTTTACATTTTAAACATAAAAACACTCTTTCCCCTTATTCCCTTTTTTTTGGGGTTTTTCGTTAGGGTTTCGATTATAATGATAATAATCATTTTAAAACCCGAACTTGAAAAAACAAAAAGTTAACAATAATTATTTTGCAGACAAAAAAACCCTTTTTCACCTAAAAAATTTCACAGATTTTTTTTTTGTAAAAACATTTGACCAAAACAAAGCTTGTGGTTAGGGTTTTCAATCCAATGGTGGAGTGTCACTGTAATAATTGCACCTCCCCTAGCCAAGCTGCATCAAATGTTTTTAAATCACACCCCACTGGGGGTATTCAAATTTTTAAATTTTTTTAAAAAAATTGCACTCAGAGAAGGGAAAATTTTAATGATGTTTTTAAACCATCTTGGGGTTTATTATTTTAATCAAAAAAAAGCGTAAGCCACAAGGGCTATACAGCGCCCGCGATCCCTCTTGGGGCAATGTATGACTGCAAAAAGTATCGTAAAGGTCTCCCGAGTGGGAGGTTTTTTGTGAACTTTTTTTAGCCCTAATATGGGATTTGTTTGTCTTTTTGAAAGGGTGAAGATTTTTTTAAAATCCACCTTTTTTTATTATAAACAAAAAAAAAGCGCCTTTAAACCACCCAAGGGGGCATACAGCCAAAGGGCCCCATTAAAAATTTTAAAAAAAACTAGATGTTTCTGAACATCTAAAACTGATGTTCAGTGAAAAAGCAGCAGTTTGGCTTTCCAAACTTTACGTAACATTCAGTTTGAGATACTGTATAACATTCTGAGTACAAAGAATCTAAATTTTTTCTATTGTCCATTTTGTCAGTGTATACAGCCTGATTTCTGACTTTCTCCTTCCCTTTAATGCTGCATCTTGCTTGCTCTGCTCTCTCAAAGGCCCACCAAAATAAAGGTTCTATGACACCCCTTAGCTGGTGCTTTAATGCTGGTGATGAACTCTTGATCTAAGGAATTTGTGCTACTGGAATACACCTGACTGAGACACTTGCACAACATTTGGGCATCTTTATCCTAGAATAAAGATACCCAAATATTGCACAAGTCTCTCACTTATCAACTTGTCAGTTTTGTAAACTATTCATTCACAAACCCACCTGATTACATCCCAATCCCCAGGCACTTTGTCTCTTATTGTTTAACATTTCCCTTGTGAATATAATAATAATCAATGATGTTTTCACCAGCACTGACATTCCATTCTTCAAATTGCCTTTGTACTCTACTCATTCCCATTACTTTAAAGGTTTTCCATGTCCAATAAACTTCACCTTTATCATGCAGCATGAATTATCACAGGTTTATTGCTTTTTAATAAACAGAATAAAAATGTTTTAATTTCCTACGTAGAATGATGATAATTTAAATTATAATATGTATAATAAGATATCCCATAAAATGTATAACAGACTTGAAATTGTTAAAATTTTGCTTCATACAGGAGCATCACAGTAATCAAAATAAAAACAAAAGCAAACTTATTTGATTTTGTTTCATAATCAATGTTATTTATATAATGTATGGTTAAACATGAAGAAATTAATGCCTCTTTTATAATTTTATGGATCACTGGGCAGTGCTGTATGACCCTTGTGGGTTTAGTGCTTAGTTATGATTGTAATAATAATATGGATTATTATTATAATAATCTAATAAGAACTTTTAGGAGCATACATATTGTCATATTGCCTTCTAGCAGGTGTGGTAACATCAGGCCTGCATGAGGGAACCTTTAGCCAGATCAACCAGGCTGTGATGGATGTGTGGGCCACCAGCAGCCTGGTTGACAAGGCAAACACCAGTCGAGCCTGGCCTGTGGCTGGGCTCCATGAGTTGAAAAACTCTCTGAACTCATCAAAGATATCTGATGAAGGGCTCTTGTGCACAGTAACTGAAGCTACCCTCCACTTCCTCAGATCAAACCTGATCACTTCATCCCCTCCCACATCTTAGGCATTATATAACCCTTAAGGGTTTAATCACTATCCCATAACTATAATAATCTCTAATGACATGGCAGTAATACTGACTCAACACAAAATTTAAAAAAAGACTGATGCAAAGACTTAAAAAAATCAATATATAGAGGAAACTGGTTTATTTTACATTAGACTTTAAAATCCAAGTTGAGAGTGATGTCATCCTCTGATAGCTGCGATGCACTTCTGTAATTATCATAATCTAAAAATTTTATTTACAAAACCTGGACATTTTATATTATAAATTCTTTAAAAAAAAAACTTAAGTTGTTTATATAAAAGTGTCGAAAATATTTTGAAGTCTTTTGACAATGATTTTATATACAGTACATTGTATTTTCAAATATTAATGAACTACAACTTAATGGATTAACTGTTGCACTTGAGTTTTCCAAATACACACATGCATGCAACATTAAACTCTTGCAAGAACCTATAATGACCAATTTTCGTACTATATATTAAAATTTTTAAATGATTAACACGATTTGTTGTAATGCAGTGGCCAAAAAATAAAATTATATACCTTCAGTCAATGTCAATGACTTCTATTTCAAGGTTCACTTCCCGGTTGACAGGAAGTCGGTTCGACCTACTCTGACGTGGCCGGAGTGCATACTGGTGCCAACCCTGGGAAAAGTAAATATGTATTGAAACTTATATATATATATTTTTTAACACATCGGCCGTTTCCCATCGAGGCAGGGCGACCCAAAACAGAAGAAACACTTTCATTATCATTCACTCCATTGCTGTTTTGCCAGAGGCTTGCCTACACTACAGTTATAAAACTGCAACATATTTGTATAGAAGTTCCCTTTAAAAGAGATGTCTTGATCCTGAAAGCTCACGATCCAAGAAAACAGAGCCTACGTTATGTTTTTTGGATGAAATATCATGACTTACCATTCTTAATGCTGTATAGCCCTTGTAGTTTAGCACTTCTTTTTGATTATAATAATAATTACCATTCTTAATGTAAATGATATATTCATGGGACTGATAAATTCATAAAACTGATAATAATATATATTTATGACTGATATTGCTGTACAACAAAGCTGAAGGGGGTGGGTGAGTTTCAATGGAGAGGAATAAATGGGATTAGGTCAGGGGTTTCAAATAGAGTTAGAGCTAAAGAAGGAGTAGCAATTATGTTGAAGGATAAGCTATGGCAGGAAAAGAGGGACTATAAATGTATTAATTCAAGGATTATGTGGAGTAAAATAAAGATTGGTTGTGAAAAGTGGGTTATAGTAAACGTGTATGCACCTGGAGAAGAGAGAAGTGTAGAGGAGAGGGGAGAGTTCTGGGAAATGTTGAGTGAATGCGTGGGGAGTTTTGAATCAAGTGTGAGAGTAAGGTGGTTGGGGATTTCAATGAAAAGTGGGTAAAATGTTATGGAGGGAAGTAGTAGGTAAATTTGGGGTGCCAGGGGTAAATGTAAATGGGGAGCCTTTAATTGAACTATGTGTAGAAAGAGATTTGGTAATAAGTAATACATATTTTATAAAAAAGAGGATAAATAAATATACAAGGTATGATGTAGCACGTAATGAAAGTAGTTTGTTAGATTATGTATTGGTGGATAAAAGGTTGATGGGTAGGCTCCAGGATGTACATGTTTATAGAGGGGCAACTGTTTATATCAGAGGGGTTTTTAATGTTGCAGTTTTAAAAACTGTAGTGTAAAGCACCCTTCTGGCAAGACAGTGATGGAGTGAATGATGGTGAAAGTTTTTCTTTTTCGGGCCACCCTGCCTTGGTGGGAATCGGCCACTGTGATAATAAAAAAATATTTAGTTGTAACTACAGTTAGAGTAAGAGGTAGATGGGAAAAGAGGAAGGTGGCAACAACAAGTAAGAGGGAGGTGAAAGTGTATAAACTAAGGGAGGAGGAAGTTCGGGCGAGATATAAGCGACTATTGGCAGAAAGGTGGGCTAGTGCAAAGATGAGTAGTGGGGGGGGTTTTAAGAGGGTTTTTAATAGTTTTAAAAAAGCAGTATTAGAATGTGGGGCAGAAGTTTGTGGTTATAGGAGGGTGGGGGGGGCAGGGGAGGAAAGAGGAGTGATTGGTGGAATGATGAAGTTTAAAAGGGGGTGATAAAAAAGAAAAAGGTAGCTTATGAGAGGTTTTACAAAGCAGAAGTGTTATAAAGAGAGCAGAGTATATGGGAGTAAAAGAAAGGTGAAGAGAGTGGTGAGAGAGTGCAAAAGGGAGAGCAGATGATAGAGTGGGGGAGGACAATGTCAAGAAATTTTAATGAAAATAAGAAAAAATTTTGGAGGGAGTTAAAAAAGTTAAGAAAGCCTAGGGGAAAGTATGGGTTTGTCAGTTTAAAACAGGAGTAGGGGAGTTAGTAGATGGGAAGAGGGAGTATTAGGTAGATGGCAAGAATATTTTGAGGAACTTTTTAAATGTTGGGAAAAAAGGGGGGGCGGGTAATTTTTGCATGGCCAGGGAGGTATACCCCTTTTGGAGTGAAGAAGAGCAGAATGTAAGTGTGGGGAGGTACGTGAGGCATTACGTGAATGAAAGGGGTTAAAGCAGCTGGAACTGATGGGATCATGACGAAATGTTAAAGCAGGGGGGGGATATTGTTGGAGTGGTTGGT